AGAAGCGAAAACTCAGTAAGCCACATTAATCTTACAAAAATCTACCGTAAAATAAAAGGCATTGAGCACAGATTTCGACTGCAGCGTGATTGCACCACGAACACTGGTTCCAACCAGGATTCATAGCCGGGAATGCTGTAAGATTGATGTGTCATCTGAATCTCCGTTTTGTCCACTTCAAGTAATCACGTTTAATGATCGGATGAGTTCCAGTACAGCTGGCATTTTGCACGCGTGCTATCATAATCGTTAGCATATAGACTTACCAAGCTAGGATCTTCTGCCATAAACCTCGTTAAAAGAATAGTCTTCCAGCTCCATTCCTTTTCTTTTTGTGATCTCTGAACAAAGAAAGATCAGCATCATTTGATGAGCCTCCCATGCCCCCGAATATTGAATTTTCTTCAGACGTTCAGACCCACTTTCACGCTTTTTTCCGATATTAGGCGGTTTCTGTGATAGGTGTTCCTTTTTTAATAGTTGCTATTTTGCCGTACCAGCCTGTACCGGTTGGCATTATCAGCTGACAACGCTACGGATGCTCTCCCACCTCGTACGGTGCCTGGAACAATTGATAAGTGCTGAGCGATAATAGACAGCTTACACGTGAGATTGCAGAATGTCGGAGAAATTCTTTGCATGACTATCTGACCGTGCAGTAATGACCTTCTAATGTCAGGACAAGCTAGTATCAGAGAGTGGCTAGCAAGCAGAATGAAAAAATGATCAAATTCGAATTGTAAGTAGCAGCAATAAAATTGCAACGGAATAACTTAGGGCTGTTGGCAAAACAACTTTTGAACTTTGGAATTGCGAGCTTTTGTTCCAGCGAGTTCTTGAATCCACGAGAAGGGGTTAAGGGGTTACTTCTGAGTAGCTTCTCGATATCTACCATAACGCTTCTTTTTCCTCTCAAATTGTCTATTTTATGTGAGACCTTTAATGTGCTAGCAGAATTCACTGCAGCGATCATGGGCAGGATCCCTTCAAAGCTTGAGTAGTTTGAATGCTTGTACGATTGTGCAATTATTGGGTTGAGTAGAAAGTTTTGATCGGAATTTTCATCCTTCTCTCGATTCTTTCGTATGACCACTTGGAAGGATTTCGTAATAGGTTATGGTAGATAGTTCCCGGACCTGCACTGTGGGGGCATATATAAGCATGCCTTGCAAATGTTTCGCAATAATGACCCCTGTCAACCGAAGTTGTCTGAGAGCTATAATCTTTTACGAATTTCTGCAAGGCCAAAATACATCGTCCGCTGTCGCAAATATCTGTTGTGCATTCAGAGAAGACATCATGTCTCAACCCAAGGTGCATCCTTGGTATCAGCAAATTCGTTCGGGCAATATTTTGTTCGAAGGTCAACGTC